TACAACTCACTTTTTTTTATTTTTTGCATTCTGAGTGAAGTCGTTATAGTTAGTGGGTCAGATATAAATGAAGGACTGATAAGTAGTTTAGGGACTCTAGATACTGAGTGCTATGGGCTTCAGAAGAAGCTATAAGTTTGACAATGAGCTCCTCCTATGCACCTGACAAATATTTGATCGAAATCTCTGCATGGGTGTCAGGGGAGTTTTTGCTTGTACAAAGTTGTCATGATGTTACCTTTCTAATTTACTATTTAAGGAGCTTTGTTATGAATAAATATGAAAGCTTATCTAGGTACCATTTAATAGGAATTCTCAAAGGCTTTTTGAAACTTTTTCATTTACAATTATGCAATAGAATGTAATCGAAATATCCTAATCCTGTGAATCAAGATTTCATCATTTCCACCCCTGCTCTAAATTACTGTGTCAATTTTTCCAAGCTCCCTTCTCTTTAAAAGCATTCTTTTTCTTCATAATATTAATGCAAAAAATATTACTCCCTTTTTCCTTTTGTTTTAGGGAAGTACTTGTGAGTGAAATTTTGCTTCACTTGAAGTTATTCTTAGGGAGCAGGGATAGTGGAAAGTTTTTTTTTTTTATTTTTTTAAGTCCACAAGTGTACCCTTAAGAAGTATGCACAAACCACACCAAGTCATTTTTCCCTACCCTACAGAAACCCAATTACTCTTCTCACGCTGTAAAAGCACCTCACTACTTGTGTCAGCAACATGCTGTGGAAATAATAACAGGCTATGCACTGAACAGACATCTGCCACCTTTCTGACTCTCAAAGCTTTAGCACTGGAGACATTGTTTTTCTTGTCTATACACACTCTGAATTCCTTAAAAGGTTATATAAAATGTAAATTAAAACTGCCTATGACCAAAGTATTCATAATTTCATTTTCTTCAAGATCTCATAGGAGAGGACAACGTACTAAGGCACATAAATAAGAGGTTGCAGGGTAGTCATAAAATACGGGAACTATTAGAAATAGTTGTACCTTAGGTTAGACTATGTGGCAAGTCAGTTGAGTCACAGGTGCAATGGACCTGCAGGGGTTATCTAACTTAGAAATCTTGGTGCAAGATGGAAAACAAAAACAAAACAGAATTCTTTCTTCAAAAATGATTCATAGAGGTGGCACAACCCTACAGCCCCTTCGTTTGGAGAGCAGGGTCAAGAGGATTGCTATAAATTCAATGCTAGCTTGGGTTATATGGTGAGTTTCTGTCTTATAAAAATAATGATTCATAACGCTGCTAACTACCAAGGCAACAGGACACTAAACTAAGTACAATGAACATCTTAATTTGAGCCCTTGAAAGTGATTATATAAGTTACATTTTAAGAAAGTCAGTATTTAACCAACTCAGACCCAGCTGACCTTTGCAAATATCAGAGAAGCCTGAAATTCCTCTTTAAATGACCTTAGTTTTACTATTCTCATAGCTAAAGTGCTACAAATTTCTCCTTAGCCATTTTCCTTATGCCTTTCCCTTGGAGTCAGAATATTTTCATGCTAAAGATTTTCTTATGATAAGTGATTAGTGTGTTACGAAATATGGCTCTCTAAATGATCAATCTGTATGCTCAGTTTATAGATAGCCCTGCCAGTGGTTGAATATACAAACAGATTTCTCATCTTCACCTTCTTTCTAGAAGTTAATTGCAGAAACTTACTTTCTTAGTTCTAAGTGGGCACAACAGTTCCTGGACCACAGTACACTTTCTAACCAATTTTCAGTTGACTCTTCTCTTCTAGGTGATTCACTGATTCTGTTAAAGCAGTTATACCCAGTAATAGATTGGAAAAAAAAAACAAGAGTACCATAATCAAACCATAATCTTTGTTGTGCTTTAATACACCTTCCATGAATTGACACTCAAATAGAAATGGTTTCGAGTGACACTTTTGTCACGTTTAGTTTTGTATAACAAATATTTAAGTTTTCAAATATTAACTTACTAATCCATATAACCATTCTCTAAGGTAAAGATGATCATTGCCACTTGTATCAGATGAAGAAAATTGGGTCCTGAGATGTTAAATGACTTGTTCAAGGACACGGAACTGGTGAATGACAGAGCTGAATTTTAAATTTTTGTATGCTGATTCTTCAGTGCCTAGTCCTTAATATCATTCTTGTGCTGACTCTTACTGAACTAGTTGGCCTTTACCCATACTCATTAGATCACTGTGGTTGGCACTAGAACTCCATAAACCTCTATTTCCTTCCACAGATATAAAAGTCTTACTCAGTAATTACAAAGGTTAACTTTAGAAATGCATCTGAAATTCTTTATCAGGCCTCTTCATGGAAATATTAATCAAACCATAATCTTTGTTTTGCTTTAATACACCTTCCATGAATTGAGTTCAAATCTCATCTTCCTTTCAGAAGCATCAAAAGATAAATTAAGCCTGCCTTACCATTCTCTTCACTTTCCTATGTATGCTCACTGCTGTCTTCATTTCCAAGCTTCATAATTACCCAAGTCTTTTAAACTTTAGACTCTTTCTGGTGTCTCTCTTTTCCAAGAGCTTCCTCCAGAAAAGAAAAATGCTAGTCCAGTGTTTATTGATCATTTTCTGTTTTGATCCTGACCTCTTATATTCTTTTCAAAGATATATAAATCACCTGTCCTATTTTGTTATAAAGTCCCCAATGGTAGGCATTAAATCTTATTTTAAATGTGTATCTTGTGTTTCCTGATATCTTGGTGGCCTTAAAGCATATTTGGTAGCTTATGACTTGTCCATTAGCTCCAGCCTCTTGTCCCAGTGTACATGCTTGGCCTTCAAAACGACTTGTTGATTTTCTTAACATGTGCACTGGATTGTCTTTGTGTGTTCAGCACACAGTGTGAACTCCATAAATCACATTTTAGAGAAAATCTGGTACCACATAAGGGATACCAGCAATTACATATACTCTTCTTGTAAATGAATCTATCCAGTTAGAATATTTAAGAGCAGCAATGAGCATGTGGGAAAGAGAATCTTTAGAGTTTATTAAAGATAAATGGAACATTAGAATTTTTAGGGAATTTTTACATTTTTTTATTTTGGAACAGGTATAATATTTGTTGAAAATGGTTTCTTATTAAATATAGTGTTTCAACGTTGAGAATGATTTAATATCTTAATTAATTAAAATACATTCCCACTTTGCATAATTGGTAATTTTAACTGGTTTAATATTATTATTGTGTGGGAGGGTTATGAAGTATAAGAATCAGAGGCTGAATGGGCCTCCTACTGTTCTCAGATTCTTCTCATTCAGAGCATAAGAAAGAATCAGGATCATTTAAAAGAAAAATCAAGACAGAATCTTGTTTTAAAATATGAAAATACTTGTCTCTAGACCTGAGGTCCAATAGGATTCTCTTGCACAGATGAGAGGGGAAAAATGTGTTTGTATTATAATCATTTGAGATTTTGGTAGTTTCTTCTGGTAAGAAATTAAAGAAATCTGACTGGAAAAAAACACATAGAAAGGCATGGCTTTGCCCCACTTTATTCTGTAAAGAGAAGAATTATTAACTTGTCTTAAATCTTTATATTTCATGTTTGTACAGTAGAACTGTACTTCCAAAAAACAAAATCTAAATAAAACAATTTAAAAATAATGGTTGCAAATATTCAAGTTAAACCTTTCAAATGTAATCATACTGAGATTAAATAATTAATATATAAATAGCATTATTTTCATTGAATTTTGAGGTATATTTTCAAGGTGTTTTGGTGGGGGGCAAAGAACATTTACTTATTTTTAATAACATTCTTTTGCAGGGCAGAAGAAAATTTTGGGTCAAATATTGATTGATTTTTATTTGGTTAACTAATGCTTTTAATTAGACCCTCAAAAAGATTTGAAAACAGAACTTTCTGAAAGGATTTTGCTTACTTCTTCTTTTTCCACTCTTGGGAAAATATGACAGCAAGCCAATCAAACTCTGAAAAATATTATCATTCAATGTTGTAGAGTGGATTTTTATTAAACTCATAATCACTCACTTCCAATAGCCAGTAAAAGAGTAGTCTCATATCTGATCATTAAAACTACTTTGAGCTCTAGAATGATATTACTGGATTCAAGTGACAAATCATAGTCTCACCAAAACTTGGACCTCCCTTTATGTAAATGTTTGATAATGTTTTGCTGCCTATTAACTTAACTATTCTTCTATACCCATGTGGTATGTGTATGCATGTGTGTGTGTGTGTGTGTGTGTGTGTGTGTGTTACATATACTTTGTAAACTTGTTACAACTGAATATTTGAGTTCCTAAAACAGTCAATCATCAATTTTTACTGCACTATGAAATTAGATTCTCTGGGTGTCAACCTTTTCTTCAGTCCTCATATGAGAAGCAGCATGTCAACCATCACTTATCCATTCTCTAAAGTGATTTTTTTATCATCAAGTGATAACAATAGGAAAGGAAAAGAAGCTTTACTTCTGAGAGAATTCATTAGGAATTAAGAATTCATGCTGCTGTCTGGTAGTCAATTTGTGAACTAGACAGTACCATTACTAGTTTTTGTCAACATTCCGTCATGATCAAAATGTCCCAAAACACAGTTGATACTGGAGTATATATGGGAAGATATCCTTTGATTCTTTAGCCAAACACAAGTAGGCAAGTTAGTCACTTTCAAAACATCACCATCCTCACAGGAACAAATTAATATCTCTCTTCTCATTTCTCTTCGCTTCATTTTAAGGAATACAATTACTAGCATTTCTATTTGTATGTCAGTAATTCTTTTACTTTGTAAAATATGAATTTGTTAGATCATTCACGGTATTAGAAAAAATATGCTGAAAAATGGATTCAATGTAGAAGTGTATGTGTCTGACATGGGGACTGAAAAGTCAGTTAATATTGTTTTAGTTTCTAGAAAGACATGTATCTGAATTGTTTTGGTTTATTGTTTGCTTTTAATTTTCAAGTATAATACTAACAAATACTCATGGAGAAATATTAATATTTTTAAAGCTCATCTTTATAGCAAACATGAAAAACATAATCATGTAAAGAATAAAAATGTCCATTTCTCAACACTGGAACAGCATATACCAAGGCAAAGAGGACAGTTCTCACATTTGTCATTAATTCTTCTCAGGATTCCAAAAACTATGACTGGGCATCATTGTGCAAGCTTTTACTTCCAGCACACAGGAGGAATAGGTAGACAAATCTCTGTGAATTTGAGCCCAATCAGGTCTAAATAACAAGTTCCAGTACAACCAGGACCCTATCTCAAAAAAAGAAAGAAAGAAAGAAAGAAAGAAAGAAAGAAAGAAAGAAAGCTCCAAAAACTTTTCTAACTAATCCAAAATGTGCATTTTAGTGAATATTTATTTATTAACTGAAAGCTAACTACAACATAAAATAACTAAACAGTTTATTCAATAAAATACAATATCATTTGATCACATTTTCATTAATTAATTTTGCCTATTGACAGTCCAAAATATGTCATTTGTTTTCTCAAACAATGTCACTATTTGGCACAAGAGTCTATTTACATAATAAATTGTTTCATTTGCCATTTATTCCAATAACATGAAGACAATTATTTGCAACTAAGTCTAACAGAATTTGTACATATACTGTCAAGCTAAAATACTGCTAGAAATTTCCAACACACATGCAATTCAGTATGTTTACATAGTAACATATTGTTTAATAAAACCTGTATCTCTAAACACTTCATAAGACATGAATACAGGAGTCAGGCTACCCTCTACAGAAACAAGATTTTGGGAGGGAAGATGCTGCTGAGCAAGAGTCCTGTGTTCAATTGAATTGAAATGATCTTGCTAGTCCAGATGTTCAGGAATGCTATTGTGCCATCATAAAATTGTAGATAGCTCAATTCACACTAAACTGCAACAGACTTTCAAGTATAAGCCCTTAGCAACCTAAAAAATAAGACAGCACAAGCAACACTGACAAAACATATTCTTATTATGCGTGTGAGCTTGGTTTTAAGCAAAATTGATATTGAAAATCCAAACATACAAAACAGAGTGGTTGTTTGCAATAGAAAATGATTTTCTGCCTCATAAAGGGATTCCCAAGTTTTATTTAAATGGCTGCTCCCTTAATGCACTTAAAATACAATTTGATTTATAAAATTTCAACTTACACTACTTTTCCCACCACCATTATGAGGAGCGAAGTAGACCTCCACAAAGTACTTCAGTCTCTCTCACATAATTAAGTTTCTTATCATTGTGTTGCTAAAAGGCATGTGAGTTGAAAGATTACCCTTTAAGCCACTAAGATTAAAAAGTAAACATTGTCTCTAAAACATGAATATTCCATAAAATTGAAGTACATCAGCGATTTTTATATTTACAATTTTGGTATTCAACTTTACAAAGTAGATGTAGATAGCGCAAATATATAGCTATCATCAGGCCATAACGTTGGGTCTCAATCTGCTGTGATTTATTTTATTTTAGTGGTATCTTTCTCCTTTTAAGTACATAATTCCAAAGATGTGTTAATAGCACTTACATTGTAACCAGTCTACTTATGATTTATCTATCTGATATTTTATTCCAGAGAATTTAAAAATTAAACCTTCTGCATTCTATTGCTGTCCCCACTACTTACCTGGGGGTGATTTTCATTAAGGTTAAACTCTCTTTTACTGTGTACTAATCTCTTTGCCAACTTTGGGAGATCTGTTGGGAGAAAGGGATTTAGTAACAGTGGGAGCAGGGATGAAAGCTTGGAGTGAGGCATTTAGAGAGCCTGTCTAATATATATCTGTGGCCCCTCAGCACACCGCAGATTCAGGCACCAGGGAAGAAAGCACTCCAGATGTATTGAATGAGTGCCTGAATGAATGAAAATAAATGAATGAATGAATAAATGAATGAAGAAACAAATTGAGTAAGAGAACCATCTGGAAGGCTTTGTTCACTCTAGCATTCAGTCTAGATGCTTCTGGAATGTGTAATATCATAAAAGGATTTTCAGGGTTTGAGAAATGGCAGAATCTCCCTTTGATTTATTACGCATATTTTAAAAATCAGTAAAATATTGAGCCCTTTATGATACGGAATTATTTAGAAAAATTAAGTCACCTTATAAGTCAGAGGACAAAGAGGATATTGAAGAGTCTTTTTCTTACTCACCAAATGCCTGAGGAAAGAAGGCACACAGGTTGGCCTAAGTCCATACCAAACACTCTTGGCAATGGTGTCAAGGCTGAGGAATAGGATTTTTGAAACTTTTGTACAATTTACTCACTGGTGGTATATGCAGAAGTCATGAAAGCAACTAATTAAGTACTAAAATCTAGAGTAATTTCTATATGACATTTGTAGGACCAGACATCTAGTTCTATTCAAAGCAGATTGTAGCAATGTCACTACTTTGTCTGGAACCATTTTTGCTAGGCTTATACTCATTACAATCTGCCTGAAAAACAGGAAGGAAAATTTTTTAAAAATCCAGCTGGAAGAGTTAAAAATAAAAATCCTAACATAAAATAGGTTTGAAAATGCTTAGTCCTGTAAGGAAAATCAGAATATAACCAGTGGAAATGACAATAAATCAATTAAGCTTGAAGGGCTTATGCTTGCATTTGATAGTAAAGATTAAAACACAAAATGTGCTATTATACTTCTAAATGAAATCATTTGGATCATACCTGAAGACTTGATTATAAAACTCAATGTAAATAAAGAAAAAGTCTAGAAGCATGAAAATATTGAAGCAAATACTAATTATTGAGCTAAAGAGTTTATGGATTTGAGTTCTTCCAGGAGGTCTCTTTAAAAATCATAAAAATGAATGAGAAGTAAATTATATTTCATTAAGATTAATGAACTAACTTTGTTATTAACATGGATGTTTTACTTTCAGGAAAATAAGAACAAACACTGAAGTAGAATCATGTCACTAACATATTGTCACAGTTAAAGCTTGAAACTATCTTTAATATGATGTATGCTGATTTACCTTCATGACTTCCCCAAATATCTGCCTCTGTATTATGCATTGAGCATTATATCAAATAAAAGCAAAGTTTAAGCCTCCTATATTATATATGTCACTCAAAGATGACATGGTTTTCAGGAGTTATCTCCATGTAAAACTAATTCAGCAGCACTCTAGCTCTTTTTGTAGGAAATTTAAAATTTCTGTATTAACAAATGTGTAAATCACTTTGACCTCCATTTTCAATTGTGAGTTAATGGATGTAAATGGCAATTTTGACTTTTAAGCAAATAGCGAACATATAAGTCAGCCACTGTAGATATTCAGGGATTTCAGCTTGTTAAATCCTTGTTTTCCATAGTATCCTTTACTTTTATATATGGACACAATTATCTTCTGTTGTTTAAGAAGTCCATTTTGCACCATTAATTATTAATCCAAATGATTTGGATTTAAGTAATTTCTAATTGAAAGCCTATAGCATGAATTGTTAATAGTGGTAATGCACTATTCGTCATTTTAAAGCTTTAAAAGTAAGTTATCAGGATCCACTTCAATCTCCACATGATGATAAAGGATTATTATGTGCAGTAACCTATTTATGAAAAGGAAACAGTGTGCTTCTTTCAGACGCCATCACTTGCTTTAATAAGGAATTGAAAAGCTGGACTACTTTATATGCGGATCACCATCCCAGTTGCATAAGGATTTACAATAGACAAAACAAAACTATTTTTTGTTGTAAATAAAGGCTGTTTGTTTAAATCATACAATAATGTTTGCATCTAAAAATTATTTACAGTCTAATAAGGCTTCATAAATGTTATATAGAGTTGGTTAGTTAAAATAATTGACTGCTAAGACCAAAATTAAAGGCTTGCTCAAACTAACAAGAAAATTTTCAAGTAAATCATGCCCAAAGAAGGCAGAAGGGGAAAACAAGATGCTTACTGCTGTAGTTTAGGTAACTATTAATGAATTTGGAGATGCAAATAGGACAAGATTTGATAGCACCTCATTAACACTTCAATTAAAGTCAAGAGGAAAATCTACCTTTGTCAGAAAATGTGAAAATTGAAAGGAATTTTGAGTCTAATTTTTGATCTTCAAAGAAATAAAATGTAACATATGCAATTTTATCTCTGCTGTCTTGAATTTGCAGAGAAGTTATGTGGAAAGTTTTCATCTTACCTTTGAAGTCTTCCTTCAAGGTATTAAATGGCTCTTGTGTCTTGGTAAAATGAGGTGTGTGGCGGCCTCTACTGGTATGTGTTTATAGAAAATGTTGCAATAGGCAGAAAAAATATTAATTTCAATTAAAAAGTTAGAAATACAGATTTTCATTTAAATATATAAAAATATCTAATTTGATGCAGAAAAAATATACTACCAGTTGTGTAATGTACTCTTAACTAGGAAAATAATCTAAAACACTGATCATGTTAGTGTAAAATAATGATTTACGGGAGGGCATTAATTGTTCAATTCACTCTGATATTGGGTTAAATATATTTTATTAATGAATTGCTAATCCTGACAGAGGTGGCTTATTACCTCTAGTCCTCTGTTAAATCCCCTTTCTTGACTTAAATAAAATCACTTGTAACAAACCCAGAAGAAAGGAAATATTTTACATTTAAGTCTATAAAGTCCTAAGCTAGAATTGTTTGATGACAGGCTGGTTTCTAGAACTCAAGCAAATTGTATGTTGACATAATATAGTTGACATATAGATCTATTTTAACATTGATTTTGAGTTTAAAAATACAACACATTAAAATACTTTTCATTTTCAAAGCTAAAAGCAACATTTAAGTAATATACTTAAGTGCAAAGGCACTTTAACACAAAGTAGCTATGTCCAGGCCTATTCTTGGTAACTGAAGATGGCAATATCATAGATCATTATTTACAAAAGAAGTTGTAGTTCCAAAAGATCTTTGGAGATCTTCTACAAAATATTCTCATTTGAAAACTTTACTTACGATTTCTTCATTCATTATTATTTCTTTCCACTCCCACACTGGGAAAAGGAAAAGAAAGAAAACAGAAACGAAACCTAAATAATATCCATGAAAAAAAATGCAGTGTAGAAACATTCATGTTCACTGATGGTTCCTAAGAAGGGGGAGGTATGGAGGTGGGAGATAAGAGAAAAATAATTTAAAGGAAAGCTTGCAAGAGCAGTATCATTGCTTCACCCCTCTTCCAAACTGTTTTCAGTCTCCCATTAGCATTGGGGAAGGGAGAACACAAATGCAGTGCTTCCAACAGTTTGAAATGCATCCTTTGATGCTATAGGGTTGTAAATGATTTCCCTTCACAGCTGACTGATTGCAGTTTGTTTTTCCAGAACTTCGAGGTAGTCTGGTTCTGATTGCGGCTTAGCTTGCAGTAAAGGGTGGTCTGGCTTTGACTGCCCGACAAAGCATTTTCTGGGAGTCCCATATAAAACGGTTTTATTGATTCTGTCTTGGTTTTGGCGTCGAGATTCATATGAAGGGGCAAACTGCCTTTTAGGTAAGGTACAAAAGTTATAGTGGACTAGGCCTGCACTGGGGAGTTCCTTAACTCGCTCAGCTATGTTCTGATACAGCAGCTCAGGCTCTCTTGGTGTGCCCTGCTTTTCTAGCAACTCAGCGGCACTTATTGTGTAAGCAAGTGTGGCTGGCTCTTCTTTTTTCTCCTCCAGGTTGCCATAGCTGAAGTCCTGCAGGTTTCTGTAATAGGCTACTGGGTCTCCTTCCTTTTGCATGTAGATGGGGTTTTGGCACATCTGACCCACAGGTGGGGGGATGTAGTTATAGACATGGCCATCAGCTTTATCATTTGCTTCAGTGTTGTAAGACCCATATTGTAACTGGAAGGAACTTACATCTAAGTTGTTGGCATTCCTGGAAACAGTTGGCACTCCCTTTCGACGTTTCAGAACAAAGACGAACAAACCCGCCCCAAAACAGACAGACAGGATAAAAACAACAAGTAACCCCAAAATTAAGACAGAAAGTGGAACTTCAGTGTGTAGTTCAGGGTAAGAACTAGGAGACGCACTAAGTGATCTAGGTGTGTCTGTGTTGTGATTCATTGATAAAATAGTCCCATCTGACAAGTTAGGATTATCTGGACAAATAGCCTCCCTTCCCAGGAATTTCAGTATCTCCCCTGCATGCTTAGCGGGAGATTCACAAGTCACCTCATTGATGATGACAGGAGAATTGGCATGTTCGGTCCAGTCCTTTAGCCCCATGATGTCACAGGTGCAGTCCCATGGGTTCTCTTGCAGATCTATCTGGATAAAAGCAGGGAGCTGGTCCAGAACCCCTTTAACAGGCAGGTGTGAAAAATGATTGTTTCTCAGATTCAGCCTTGTGAGGGCTGTGCCCCCAAAGATATTATCAGGTAAGGACCGAAGCAGATTGTTATTCAGAAATAGGAGCTGGAGGTTAATCAAAGCATCAAAGGTCAGCGGCTTAATCTCCTTAATGACATTATACTCTAAATAGAGATACTGCAAGCTCTGCAGCCCATCAAACATAGAAGGATATAGCACTTCAAGGTAATTGCCATTTAGATAAAGTCTGCGTAAACTGGTCAGGTTTGTAAAGGCACCTTCCTGAATGACTGCAATTCTGTTGTTTCCTAAATGCAACAAATCCAGTGAACTGTATTCTAAGAGGTCATTCTTATATACTGTTTGGAGATAGTTCCCAGTTAGGTAGAGTTTCTTTGGACTAGTAGGTTTGGGCTGCAGGTCAGAGATGTTAGTGAACTTCCTTTCTTGGCAGTTAACATTTAGACCATTGTCTGAGCTCTGAGATGTACAGACACAGCTGCTGGGACAGGTGAGGGCCACAGGGGACTTGGTCTGGTACACCATGATAGGGCCAAAACTCTGCCGGTCTTTTGACACAGTCACTCGTGGAGTTGGACGATTTCTCATTTTGGGTGGCCGGCTTGCTTTTGGGGCCCTGGTTGGGCTGAGAGCAGGATTCATTGTAGGGGACAGCCTTTGGACCTGAGTGTCTGAATGACTGCTCCTCTGACCAGAATCACCGCTTGCACTTTTTCTGGGACAGAGGTCTTGTCTGGTCAGTTGGGTCACATCTTTCCCATGTAACCTGAAAGGAGTTTCACAGACAATCTCTCCCACAAAAACAGTAATGGTGTCCAGCCATGCCTTGAGAGGAAGTAGGTCACAGGTGCAATTCCATGGATTTTCTTCCAGCTGAATTTCCATTATTCCTCCAATATGTTCAAGGACGCCAGCAAAAGGCATTACTTTCAACCTGTTCCCCCTCAGGTCTAAGTGAGTTAGCAGGACAAACCGAAACACATTACTAGGCAGAGACAGCAAAAGGTTGTCATTCAGGATGAGTACTTTGAGCTTATTCAGTTTGCTGAATGCCCCTGCCTCAATGGTGCTGATGTAATTGTAGTCAGCTTGGAGGTACTCCAGGCTCTCTAGGCCTAGAAAAGTGTCCTCTCTCAATACCTCCAGTTTGTTGTTATTGAGGTGCAGTCTCTTGAGAGTCTTCAGACCACTAAATGCCCCAGGTCGGATCTCCTGCAACCCATTGTTACCTAGATGAAGAGTCACTGCATTAGAGTAATTGACAAATTCGTTTGGATACAGTCTGGTCAAGAGGTTTCCGTTGAGAAACAGCTGATAGATGCGATACTGGGGGGGTTGGAGCAAGCTGACAGTTGTAAATCCTTTGTTTTCACAGTTAATATTCAGTACGTTTTCCTTCTCTTCGCACAGGCAGCGGATCTTGCAAATGTCTTTGGCAGTTTTGCGGCTCTCGGTCTGTACGATCCCGGCCACGGTTAATACACTGAGGAACCAAATGCTGCTCAGCATCTTTAGGCACCTTCGATGTTAGCTCGGGCACCTACAGGCAAACCTTGGGTCAGGGACAGGGAGAAAGAGGGATCCAGGGGGAAAAGAGACAAGGAAGCCCGATTAAAATGGCAAAGCTAGGAGGCGGGGGTGGGTGTGGGGGTAGGGGTAGAGTGAGGGGGTAGGCAGCAAGGAAGAATGAAATCATTGCGTATTTCAAAGCAGTTTCTTTTCTTTTTCCCTACCCATTCCCCAAGCCCACCCACACAAAACGTCCTGGAACACACATGCTTGCACCTGATTTCCCGGCGGGTCACAGCCAACCACGGAGTCATTAGGAATCCAGTCGTCCTACTAAATCCGGCCCATCTCCTCTTCCCCTGGGGTATTTTGAAGAAATCTCAGGCGGATCGCCCGTTTTGGGCTTGCAGTGAAAATTGCTCTAGTTTTTTAAAACTGCCTTTAAAAATGGGAGTGGGTGGGAAAATTAAGAGTTAGGGGCTGACAGAGACAACCGAATAGGACGACAAAGACAGTTCTGGGTTGGGGGTACTCACACATCAGAAGATAGGATTCCCCTCCTCTTCAGTCCACCAGTAGTTTCGCATCTTCGGGAAGAGAGGGAGAGCAAAGTAAAAGAAGATCCTGCTTGCAGGAGAATGCTCTGTTTTTTTATTGCTTGATTTAATTTGATTAGGGAGGGGGGTGCGCAGGAATTTAAAATCCCGCTGACAGCCAGAGAGGAAGAGGAGGATTGGAGCAGAAGGGAGCTGCGCTGCAGGGAACCGGGGATGTGATTTCATAGGGAGGTCTTGCAGACTGTATCGCTTCGGGGGTTGCCACAGTGGAGCCTGGGCGGGTGCGCGCTTTCAATCCGGTGGCAGCAGCAGCAGTGAGTCTAGCAGTTTGAATTTGAGAGGTTTTGCAGGCTCCCAGGACAGGCCTGGGGGTGACGTCACGGGGGAGAGGAGTGTGGGCAGAATATCCAGGGCACTTGGTGGGGGGTAGGGTGGGACAGCCGCTTCCCTTCCCTGTGAGTGGCTTTACACAGCTCAATTCCCAGCTGCGTCAGTTGTTTCAGAATTACTCTATTTCCAGCCGACCTGGTGGCAAGAGAAGCTCCTTCTGAACAGGAGTTTGTTTCTCAAGCAGGCGGCCCAGCTCCCGATTAGTGCTGGCCTCACTGAAACACCCCTAATCCGAACTAGCCTGAGTGATTTCTTTCACCTACACATTGTATAAGGACAGTGACCTGTCCAGTAATACTGATCTCATGCCAGATTCCCAGGGCACGATGCAGACCCGACCAGAACATATATGTGTGTATGTGTGTGGTACTTCTTGCTACTGGACTGATGCCAGCTAGACAGACTGCTAGCTGAGATGCTTTCGGTGCAGAGTGGAATGTTCTTGTGCTAGTGTGTCTGTGTGGGAGTGAGAAGAGTTCTCCTAGGGGATCAATACTTTACATACAGAGCTCTGTGTCAGTGCTTGGGGAGTTACATTCTTGGTGGTGACCAGCCAAACAGCTATTTGCCTGGACTCTGGAAAGCCAACTCAACGTTAACTAATAGACTGAGCCAAACAAAAATGAAATGCTTCTCCTGCACTGCCCCCCCCCCCCCGGCCGAGGTTTATACTTAGCCAGATAATGAGGCTTAAACGTGTGCTTTTTGCCTGGAGGAAAGTAAAGTGGAGTGGGTGTCAGAAAAGTATTGCCAGGCTGAGACTCAGCTAGGAGTGGGAGACAAGGCAAGGGTTGTTGAGCCCTCTAGGCTGCAGAGACAGGAAGCCCCACCCCCACCCCACCCACCAACCCCCATAAAAGAGGGAAGAATGCAGGGCCAGAGAACTGACTCCTGCTGAAGAAAAGTGTAAATGGAATCATGAGCTGAGACCAGAATACCAGGGCCATGCCTGTCATTACTTTTAGGACCTTACTGTTTCTATTTGCTAATGGTGGTAGAGCGTTGGTCCTCTGGGTCCTGATATTGCATTTAGAATCAAATAACCTTTCTAGAGCGTTACTAAATGGCTAGGTGTTGAATTTTTGCTTGTGTTATCTCTTTTCTTCTTAATGTATTATAACCCCTTAGATCCAGGAATCTCAAGTGGAGAACCCATTTGCATGTGTGAATAATGCCTGTTGGGAGGAGCTATAGGCAACCTCTGATGGAAAAGAAGAGAGAAGTCAAGAAAAAAAAGGGGAAGAAAAAGTGACAAAGGGTCTGATTAAATGTGTCTATTCCACGAAACAATTCATCTTTCTTTCCCTGCCTCTTCAGATCTGCTGCAAAGTTTACTCAGAGTCTCATTGCTTAGCCAAAATGAAAGGTAGGCAATGCCACAGGCAAAAGAAACCATTTTACTCTATTTCTCTCCCATTTACTGTTTCTCTTCCTATTTAAGTAGAAGTCTTAAGGCCATGTAGCTTCTACAACCTCCTTCCTCCCTCAGAAAGATTGGGGCAATTTATAAACTTCAGCAATAAGACCACCTGTGGCACTGTGATCTGTCCCAATCTGTCTGGCTTTTTCTCTTCCCTCTTCCTCCGTTCAAGAAAAGCCTTTGACCATGCGCAAGATTCCCCTTCATGCTGCCATTCCTCTTTGGTGACTTTTAGCAAGATCGATTCACTCTGGGGCCTTAAGTGTCCTTCCCTGAGCCATAGGGCAGCCATGAGACTAGCAGTCCTGGGAGTGGGGAATGCAGTGGTAGATAACCTCCCATTCTATTGCAGGTGCACCATTACATGCAAGCAGAGTCATTTTTTGTGAGCAAAATTAGGCTCCTTTCATACGAAAGAGAAACTTTTCTATGTATTTCTAAATATTAAAAGGACAGTGTTCCTAGGGAGATATGATTTATTCACGCAGTCTTTCATTTAAGAAACATTTGCTAGTTTGGTTTATACTTCACTGAAGTGAAAGCTAATGTGACAGCTGTACAAAAATCTAACAAACCAGGATAATTTTACAAATCAGGACATTCCTCAACCAGGTGACGTACTGACTTAGTTAAGTTCAAGAAACTAAAATTAGAAACAAAATTGAAGGCCTCTGAGTAACAGTGGGTTCTTCAAGTCCAATACTGCTTACTATGAATTAGAGAATTGCATACCTAAACTTAGTGGGGGCATTTTTACTGCAAAAATTAATGTCATTAGCTTTAGATTTCAAATACAGTTAAAAAAAAAAGAGAGAGAGACATAGATAATTCTTTCCAGACTCTTTGGAGACCAAGACTGTTTTTCTAGAAATGAAAGAGAAAGAGAGAGGAGAGAGGGAGGGGAAGAGGAGAGAGGGGGAAGAGAAGAGAGAAGATGAGAGGGAAGGGGAGTAGAGGGGACAGGGGAGGAGAAGAGAGGAAAGGAGAAGGGAGAGGAGGGGAGGAGAGAAGAGGAGAAGAAAAAGAGGAATTTGGGAATCTTGAAATTCTTACCACTTACACAATAAAAGAAATCTAATGGTAATCTAGCTGTGGTGAGCCACGCCAAGGACCCGAGGTGCTTGATTTTCAATTCATGGTTTCCTGTCTGCAAGAGTCAATTTACTCTGCCACTGTATCTTCTCCCTGTATCTGAGCTTCCATAGCCACAAACCCAGAGAACACTTTTTAGTAAGTTTCATTTGGTATAGTGTATCTCTAAGAACAGCTGAAAAGAGTGACCTTTTAAGGAGCTGAAAAGCTTCAGGTTAACTGGGAAAACCAAGAGCGAAGGGGCAAATGCTTTAATTAGCAAAATGCTTGGTCTCTTCCTTGAGGGGAGAGAAGTTGAAATGCATACTCCACAGCCTCACCCCCACTCCCTTTGTCATCAACCAGCAAGAGCTGGGCCCAGGTCGCCCAAGCTTTTTCCACAGGTCATGGAGGGGGCCAGGCTGTAACACATAGGCCACCTTCATCCGTGCAATCCGTATGGCCAGAACCAGTTTAGAAGTCCAGCAGGCCCAGCAGCATTCTTCTCTAGCCCGCGGCGGGCTGCCCCATGCTAATCTCTCTTCCGGAGAGACCCAGGAGAGATCCTTTGCAAGGAACAGGACTAAGCACCAGCCCCTAGAGTAGCCCTACATTTCCTACACCCTAGCGGCTAGCGTCTTGGTGCCTGGGGGTGACCTCCCAACCGCGAAGGCCACTCTCTCTGCCCTTGCCATGGGGCTTGGGCACTAAGAATGAATGGAGCATGTTACTAGCAGAAGCTCTTGCATGGGCCATCCCTGACAGCGGTGGTGGTTACCTGACTATGAGACTCCTGGATCCCTACCACACCCGCAGAAGGTCAGGGGGCAAAGAAAAGAAGGTACCGAGGGAGGGGGAGATTCACAAGGACTGACCACGGTGAGTACAGCCTACCCACCCCATGGTCCTTCCCACTTTGAGACCAAAGAAATCCGGCTCGCGGGTCGCGTTGCCACGGCATTCCTGAGTGTTCTGAACTTACCGAGAGAGCAGAGCGCGCTGCCTCGATCTTCCCCGGAGGCTTCCGCAGCATAGGGGACTCTGAGAGGCTCAGGAGCCAGCACCGCTTTGGGTACCAGTCCTGCTGGCTGTGCAGTCGCACAGCAGCGAGGAGCACAGGCGGTGCCCCCCACCCCCACCCCAGGGCAGGCAGCTCGAGCTAGCTAAAGCAGCTCGCCACACAGCAGCGCTTCTGGCAGGAAGGAGGGAGGGAAGGGGAGAGAAGAGAGAAGAGGGAGAGAAGGATGACTGCCCCTCTCCTGCACTTATCAATCATCCAGCAGATCAAATGTCTCCGCTGTGCACTCCAGGAGGGGTTGTACCAGCTCACAAAGGAGCCTGCTCCAGTTCTCTGACAAGCGCTGCAGAGCACTGCTCTTGTCTGTCGGCCCCTCTTTATTGGAACTGTGCCCGGCTCTTGCAGCTTCTACCTTGTGCTGCCCATCATCCTATGTCAAGTGAAATAAGGATGACACTTGTTTGATATAATATCTGAGGGGACCCCAAGACCCCTTGGTGGAAGTTATTGATAAGTGAAAAAGCAGTGAACAATCTGAGTTGGACGCCTTCCTGTAACACTGCTGCTTCCCTTAACTAGTAAACACACAAAACTGGAGTTGGTTTGCATATATTTAA